GATGGGAGTGAGGTGTGGCAGAGAAAGGACATCCTTGGGATCCATAGACATTTCATAACAAAAGACTGTGATATGGCCTGCTGTACCTACCTTCTCTAACATTGAAGGAAAAGTTCTCCTTTTCTACCAAAGTGATTTCTGATGCTTGTCTATCAAACAGGCCCCATAATATTATGTATTGCTTTATTACTCAATTTTTTCCAGTAACCTGAATTTTTCTCAACCACAAAGAGATCAATAGTTAAGTAGAGATAGACACAAATATAAATTAAATCAGAGAACCAAGACACTATCTAAATGTTAGGGATTTTCCTACCGGGGGCTCATAACAATGGTATTTATACTTTTAAATCCCTAACAGCAAAGTTAGGAACTGCACAGACATGAGGATGTATTATATTGTCTGTAGACTTAAAACTAATTATCAAAATAGGAAGTTTCAGTATTAACTCTTGTCTATTAGAGATGGATGATATACCTGAATTTTATAAATATGTCATAATTTTTCATTTCTTGCAGGAATCCAGCTCAGTATTTTCATAACGACAACTTTCACCAAGTTATAGAATCAATTAATCAACAAATATTTATTAAATGCCTGCAATATATCAGGGACTATTCTAAGTAATAAGGACACAGAGAGAAATGTTCAGCAATCTCTGCACTCAATGAGCTTACTTTCTAAAGGGAGAGATAAGGTATAGTCATGTAATTTTAAAATGAATACATGGTAGTTTTGGGAGAAATTACAATAGCAGTTGAGGAGGGGTTGTCATCAAAGGCTCTATATAGCAGGTTCTGCCTGTGCTGAGTTTGAAGAAAACTAGGAATTCCAAAGAGGCGAAGGTGAGGAGGAATGCATTTTCATTTGAGGGGACAGCCTATAGAAAGGCAAAGATAAGATATGGAGTGTTGTGAATGAGAAACAGCAAGTAGGCCATTTTGGCTGGGCCATATAGTGAGCAGAAGGAAGCAATGCATGAGAACAATGTTGTTGTTCTGCCATTTCAGTTGTATCTGATTCTTTATGACCCCATTTTGGGTTTTCTTGGCAAAGATACTAGAGTGATTTGTCATTTCCTTCTCCAGCTCATTTTACAGATAAGGAAACTGAGGCAAAGAGGGTTAAGTGACTTGCCCAGAGTTACATGGCTAGTATCTGAGACTAGATTTGAACTCAGGTCTTCCTGACTCCAGGCCTGGCACTCTATCCACTTGCCACCTAGATGCCCATAAAAATAATAGAAAGGTAGAAAGGGGACATACTTTAAATAACTTTAAATACCAAACAGAGAAGTTTTTATTAGATTCTAGAGGTAGTAGGAAGACATGGGAGTTTATCGAGAGGTAGATGTTATGGTCAGAGCTTCACTTATGGAAAACCACTTTGATGTCTGTGGAGGGTAGATTGAAGTGGGACAGCCTTAAAGCAGGAAGACCAAATAGGAGATTTTTTCATAGTCCAGGCAAGAGAAGATGAGGATCAGAACTTAAGTGGTCATTTAGTGACTTGAGACCAGAGCATATTTGAGAGATGTTGTGGAGATAGGAACAACAAATCTTAGCAAATGATCAAATATTTGAGGTGTCTAAGAATGAGGAGGATGATGTTAACATCGTAAATACTGATGACTAGAAGGGTGGTGCTCTTATCAGTAATAGGGAAATTCAGAAGAGGGGTAGGTTTTTTGGAGGAAAGATTTTTTTTTTTTAGTGTGGCAATTGGGGTTAAGTGAATTGCCCAGAATCATGCACCTAGGAAGTATTATGTGTCTGAGGCAGGATTTGAACTTAGGTCCTTCTGACTCCAGGTGCTCTATCTACTGCGCCACGTAGCTGCCGCCTTGCAGGAAAGATCGTAAGGATTTTACATACTGTAAATTAAAAATTGACTCACCTCAGCAGTAGATTATAGATAAGTCTCTGATCAATGTATTTTAAAGGAATCTCTGGGTAGTTCTAAGACCTATGTGCCTTTATGTTTTATGACACACCTGTAACTTTAGGGCTTCTCATATTCATTAGGATGGAAAAAAATATGAAGGTGAAAATAGCTTTTGCCTTAGGGTTGGCCCTAACTTTTTAAAGCGTTTCTTGCCATTAGGAATTCATTGATAAAGAGGAACATTATGCCCTAATTACCTGAACTTGGTCTGTTGTTTTCCCTGACTTCCAAAGTCTTGTAACTAATGTTGTCATTATGTTTTTGTTTGTTTGTTTGTTTGTTTGTTGGAGAGGCAATCGGGGTGAAGTGATTTGCCAAAGATAACACAGCTAGGTCAACATATTGTTAATAGTTGTTGTTAATAATGAGCTCCATCTTTATAATGTTTTAAATACTTTCTCCTTAACAAAACAGTAATTGCTGTTTTGTAGATAAAGAAACTGAGGCACAAAGAAGTAATGGTTTTGCCTATAATTACACCTGACAATACTTTGATTCAAACCCATGTTTTTTGGTTCTAAGGTAGCTGTCTTTCTATTCCACCATGGCTCAATACCTTTCCAATCCCTACATGATCTCATCTGCATTGGCTTCCTGATCTCCTTAATCCCACCCTTCTCTTAGCCCACAAGGGCTGGGACTGTTGGCTGGGATTCCATGGCTGGGGCCCCTAGAGGGTGAATGGTGACCAGCTGATTCTTTCAAAAGGTTAGACCTACTGTTTACATAGGCCCAGTTGCCCTGTATCTTTGAATTTCTCACCATAATCCTACTTGATCACTCTAAACTAATTGCTCTCCATCTACCCTCTTTTGGGAGACATCTGCTAATAGTCACTCCCTGTCTATACATACTGGTTCAATTTTATGTTTTTAATCTGAGCAGATATACCACATATCAGACACAAAATTATTTTGGGATAGGCAACAAATTCTTGACCTTCCTGAACCCCAAATTATCTGTACTAGGAAGAAGTGAAGAACTTTGGACATTACTGGGTGAGACTGGCCTGTTTCTAATAGGCAGGATTTGGAGACCCCACTGCCACATGCTGGGAACTTTATTATTATTATTTTTTTATGTAATGCCTGGGGAATGTATCTTCTGAAAATAGGGACTGGAGAGATGCAATTTTTCTTTGCTTTTGGGTTAAAAAAAGCATCTATTTAATAGAGCCTGACACTCTTAACAGCCAAAGTAAACTGCCTTCACTCTGATTATGTGCACTCTGGACAATTTTCTCACAGGAAGAACTTTATGGGAGGAAAAAAAAAGAAGAAAGATGCTTTATGTTGGCTCTGACTGTGATTGCATTACTTCCCGAAGGGTCTCAGCTCCCAACTCCCCATCACAACAGATTGGGCTACTGTGACAGGCATGAAGTTAGAGTGGAAAGAGAAACACAGCATCCACTGACTCATTGTGACTTGACAGAGTTGGCCTCCAGGCATTATCTGGCTTAATTTACCAGCTACTATATATCCTTAATAAAAATTCAGGGACAAGGAAGAAGAAAGACATATTATGTTCTCACATAGTAGGTATCCTCTCCTTAAACATTTGTTGAGTGAAGAAATGAATGAATAACCAGTGCCTTCTTCTATCTGGAAGAAAAGGATAATAGAAAGCTGCACAGTGGATATGAGGTTTCATTGTGTAAACCAATGAAGATCTCCAAAGAACAACAGGAATAAAGGATGTGATCAAGGAATTATATACAACAGGAAGAGAAAAGGAACTTTAAAAAATTATTTATTTTAGTCTGAACTTAGGAAATGAAATAAGCATTTCCATAGCATAACAGAAGAGAAGAGAAGAGAAGAGAAGAGAAGAGAAGAGAAGAGAAGAGAAGAGAAGAGAAGAGAAGAGAAGAGAAGAGAAGAGAATAAAAAGATGAACTTTTTAGGGCCAGACCATGGTATGACAGGTGGATTGCTAGATTACTCTATCGATACCCTAGTGATGTTGGGAGAAAATGAAGAATGCCCCCTGCACATCGAGTGAGGCCCCTGCAGTGAACTTTTGGGAAAATATGGACAAGAGTCATGGAAGATTGGCGGACATAGATAGATCACAATCTACATCTAGAAGGACTGCCTGCATGACTAAGAATTCAGATCCTTCTGAGTATCTTACTGTATAAAACAATATGGGGAAAGATTGAAATTGAATTAAATCCAGCAATCATTTATTAACACCTTGTGGGTATAAGATACCACACTAGAGATTGGAGATACCAGAAAAAAGGCAAAAAAGGGTCTCTTCCTGTTGTAGACTACATTCTACTGGGGGACTTGACAGGCAAATAGAGAAAGAAACACAAGGCATTTCAAAGTACTAACATCCTTGGGGATGAGAGAAGCCTCAAGAGGCAGCTGAGCTGAGCCTTAAAGGAAGTTAAAGATTGTAAGAGCCAGAATTGATGAGGGAGAGCATTTCAAACATTGGGGGCACGCTGTGCAATGCCAAAAGGCAATACATGAAGAGCCATATTTGAAGGGAAAGAAAGTAGGCTGGTTTGGCTTGAATATAAAATAATATTTTTTTCTTGGCTTATTGGATAAGATCAAATTTGTAGTCTGGAATGCAGTTTATGTGAACAGGAATCATGTGAAAGATCTGCACCAGATTTTGGAAGGTTGGGAGTTCATAGTTGATCCTTGATATACTAGAGAGCTGCTAGGATATTTTTAGCAGAAGAGTGTCACAGTCAAGCCTATTCTTTAAGAAGAATATTTTGGGAAAGATGTTGGAAGGATAGTTTGCAGAGGAAAGAGACTGGAAGCAGGAAGAACTTATTAGAACACTAGTTCAATAATTTCCATAAGAGATAATAAAGGTTTAAAGTAGGCTTGTGGAGAAAAGAGGGTGGATTCAAGAGATTTTGTAGAAGACTCAATAAGACTTGGCAACTAATTGGATATGAGATGTGAGGAAGAGAAGAAACTCCAGAGAAGCTGAGGTTGCAAACCAATGTGAAAGTAAGGTCAATGGAGGCTTCAACAGGAACAGGGCAGTTGGGAGGAGGCATAGATCATGTCCCTATTAAGCTTACCTTTTATACACTACATCTTCTCAGTTATTTCAATTACTTCTTGAGTTGTATGGTTTCCAGTCACCTCACCATCCTGGTTGTGCTCCTCTGACTTTGCTTCTGCTTGTTAAATGTCCTTCCTAATGTGAGGGATGGCTTACAGTGAAGTTCCCTCATTAGTATCTCTTTGCTACACTCTTACCTCCCTTCTATGCTCCTGTCTCTCTCCTGCACTCTGCCTGAGTGTGAGAGATGGCCTGCAGTGCTTAAGTTTTGTTCCTCTGGAAAGACTTGAGTTAAGTTTCCATTTCCCCCGATAAGCTTCTATTTCTCCAGCACCACGTCAGAATGAGTGGGGGAGATTGAGCCTGGTCACTCCTACTTCCTACTATACATATGCATCTAGTCCAAACATGGGCATGTTTACTTCTATTGGGTATTAGCTACTGCATTTAGAATGTATGCCCTGAGTACCCAGTCAAAGAAGAAAGGGGTAAGAGAGTGGGAGGGGGCATTGAGTTAGGGGATAAAAAGCCAAGGTTGTGGCTCCCCACTAGTACTCTCCTGGCTGACAATGGCAATTGGGGCAGTACCCTTTTCCATGAGAAAGCAATAAACTCCTTTCTGCTTTCAAGGTATCTAAGTCTTTGTTTTTATTTTGAGTGGGTGGTCTCTGTCCCACACACTAATATATGGCTCAAAGAATGAAACGCAATAAGAATAACTCCAGTTTGACTTGGACAGAGTTAAATAGAACTACAATCTTATACATCTGATAGAAATGCAGACAGAAAGGGTCAGATATGAAGAAGGAAAAAAGACAAAGATATAGAGTAGGGAGAGGCAGAGACAGAGACAGACAGAGACAGACAGAGACAGAGAGAGAGAGAGAGAGAGAGAGAGAGAAGACAGACAGAGACAGAGAGACAGACAATGATTAAAAGGCAAACTCCTGGAAGAGAAGGAAAGGGATGGTCTTGGGAAGTAAAGGAAGCTGATGATCTATGGCCTTGATTTTCTCAATGAAGTCCAGGGAGAAGAGAAACTTGAAGAAAGGATATAAGGTTTGTAATAGCTGCTTTGGAAAGTGTCAGAAAGAGACAACGTGGGAGAAATAAATGAGTTGCTATGCAATAATAATGACTATGTTAATATTAGACAATGGACTTAAATTTGTAGCTCCATCAACATTTAGCAGCATGCAAATAAGAGGGAAAATATTTTCTGGTGAATTGTAATTTGATAAAGTGTAGAAGATGGTAGGGTAGGAAGGCGAGGGACTCCAGGGTAGAGGAGAATATTTAGTTAAACTGATTATCTTTGGGTTATGTTTCTGAAGGGAAGAAAGAATAGACATGGTTTTCTGGGACAACAGGGAAGGGTACAATGTCTGGATATTACAGTTTGAGGATGAAGAATGGGTTTCATTGGACTGAGACAGAGGAAGAGGTGAAAGGATGGGAGGTTATGATTACAAATAAGAATTCCAAAATTCAATGTCATGGAAGTTAAACATTTGTGAGTGATGGTGAGATTGAGGGTACATAATCATCCTTGTGGATAGATGAAATAGAATGAAAGTGTAAGTCTTGGGAATTGAGGAGGCTTATTTTGAATTGGGAGTCTGGTTGACCTCTCTATTTGTAGTCAAATGACTTAAGGTTTAAATTTTACCTCTGCTTTATTACCTGCATGACTCTGATCAAGATTTTTGACCTCTTTGAATGTCAGTTTCCTCATCTGTACAATCAAAAAATTAGACTTGATTATCTCTAAGATATGTTCAAATATTAAAGCTATTATTCTGTGATTGAAGGAGTGCGCATTTCCAGTCCTCAAGGAATTTAGAAGCTAGAAAAAGAGACAAGGAATCTAATGCCAGTGATTATAATGCTCATAATATTACAGTCATGAAGTTAGATTTAGGAACCATTAGGGTTACATCAGAGACCAGAGCCTAGGTATGGCCAGAAAGGGCATGACTCTCCCTGTGCTCTGCATTTCTTTATTACACTTGCTCGGGACCATTTTCAGAACTGAGAGGTAAGGGGAGCTCCTTGGCTCTTGGACAAGTGCTGCAGGCTGAACCAGGGCACAGAACATAGGGCACAGGGACCAGGGCTGGGATTTGGAACAGAGTCTAACATGAGAGCTAGAACTTGAATCTCGTAACTTTAACAGCTAGGAAACATGTAATATGATAATAATACATTAGTGTTTATATACTGTATTAGAATCATGAAACTTATCATTTACATTGTGATCACCCTGTAAAGTAGGTAGTGCAAGTATTGTCCATTTCATTTCCGTTTTACAGAAGAAGAAACTGAGTCTCACAGAGGTTGACACTTAACTAAGTCAGAGTTCTCTCATGAACCCAGGTATCTTGACTCCTTATCCAAAATTTATTCCCCTCCCTGCTATGTCTATGCTAGTGTGTTTCAGTCCCTGAATTTTTCTTCTGTGCTTTTTTTCTTCCTCTCCTCTTTTTCTCCCTTCAGACACATGTGGCTAAATGCAATTATAATCATTTGGTCTACAAGGTTAATTATTGGTGCGTTATTCATTGTACAGTAATTTTGTTTGTAGCAAAATATTTTGTACAAGTGTCTATGGCTATTGAACCACTTTATAACATTAACAGGTCAGCTCTCAAATACCTATTCAAATCAACTACCTTGTGAAAAGTTAAAAATAACCAGTCCAATATCAGGACCCTCTGCTGGCCTTCCATAGTGCTATACTCTTTCGATGCTATCAGCATGAACAGGGGAACCTGTTGGGCAGGTGAGTGAGAAAGGAGAGGGCCAATGTTCTTCAGAAAATGCTTGATGCTAACATTTATACATATATTTATTACCTACTGAATCCAACTTCTGGGGAAACTGGCTTTTTTTTTTTATTATAACTAGTAGTGGGTATTGATTAACACTCTGAGTAAATTTGGTTTAAAGATTCATTTTGTTTTCTTATCTCACATTTTTCTTCTTCTACCTGGCTTTGTTTCTTGTTGAAGGACTGTCACCCCATCATTTCTTTTTTTGTGAGGCAAGTGGGGTTAAGTAACTTGCCCAGGGTCACACAGCTAGTAAGTGTCAAGTGTCTGGTCAGAGACCGGATTTGAACTCACGTCCTCCTGACTCCAGGGCCAGTGCTCCCTAGCTGCCCCAACACCTTATCATTTCTGAGATTACTAGAGTGTAAGCTCTCTGAGAGCAGGGGCTGTGTCTTAAGAAAACTTTGCATCTCCCTCAGCATGTAGCATCTAACCTAGGGCACTAAGAATTTAATGTATATTTATTTGCTTCCTTCAAGTCCTAGCTAAGATGTTACCTCCTACAAGAAGCCTTTCCCAATTCTCCTTAACACTAATCCGTTCTCTTATTTGATTATCTTTAATTTATACTGCATTTATCTTATTTTTACATAATTTTTTTTTCATTTTGTCTCCCTAATTAGACTGTGACCTGCGATTCTTGACTAATAGATTGATGAAATGAGGTTACTGGATTGAATTGGAGCTTAGAGCTGAAAGGATCATTAGAGATAATCTAGTCCAATCCATCCTGTTCCATAGATGAGACAACTGAGGTCCTAAGACCTAAGACTAAGGCATTGATATGCCCGAGGATATTCATCTAGTAAGAAAGTCTGGGATTTGAATTCAATACCTCTTGACTCCAATTTAATTTCCTTTTTTTCATCATACTAGGCTGCATCTCAATTGATTTACCATACTAGAAATCTTCATTAAGCGTTTACTGTGGTGAGGCCTATTAAGAAGTAGTAGAAATAGTAAGCAAATGAGATAAATTCACTCAAATCACAAAATCATATTAAGTATTACGCTATATCCTTGGCCTTTGGGACATTACAATGTACACTGTAGAGCCGACCAGTAATTGAGAGACCTGCCCTTCTAACCTACTTACCTTCTCTTTCTTTCCAGCCAGATAAACCTGATAAACTTATTTGTAACACTTGCTATGCTCACTCCTATGATGATGGCTTTATTTGTATGATTTTATCTGTAATATTCTCCCTTTTCCCTTCTACTTATGCAAATTCTTTTGTCCTTCAAAGTCCAATTCTAGCCCCAAATCTTCCATGAATCCTTTCCTTCCCTCAGCAACCCATGATGGTTTTCTCCTTTTCTGACTTTCAGTAACATAGATGTAGACATAGACATGACATAGCTACATTTATGAAGTGGATAGAAGGCTGGGAATGGAGTCAGGAAGACCTGGGTTCAAATGTGGTGTAAGACACTAAATAGCTCTGTGACTCTGGACAAATCACTTAACTTTGTTTGCTTTGGTTTCCTCATCTGTAAAATGAGCTGGAGATGGAAATGGCAAACCACTCCAGTGACCCCAAATGGGGTCACAAAGAGTCAGACATGACTGAAACAATTGAACAACAATAACACCAACACCAACATACAGTACAGTTTGATTAGAACAGTCAATCCTTAGATGACATTCTGTTTGCAGCTTTCTCTATGGTCTCTTTTGTGTGTGTGTGTGTGTGTGTGTGTGTGTGTGTGTGGTGTGTGTGTGTGTGTTGTGTGTCTACAGCATGGTATCAAGAGATAGGATGGTATTGTAGAAGTAATGCTGGACTTGGAGTCAGGAAGACCTGGAAGTCAAAGCCCATTGGGTGAAGAGCAAGTTTCTTAACCTCTATCAACTTGTTTCCTTATCTATAAAATGGAGATTATAATAGAGTTTCTGTGAAGATTAAATGAGATTATATATAAACACATTATTTTATACACACACATACACATACATCCTTGCAGTCCTTAAAATGCAATATAAATTAATTATGTTGTGATGATTATAATACTGATGTTGATAATATCTTTAAATAGACTCTAAGATTTGCTTGCAAACCAGTACCTAGCATAGTGTTTGCCCTGAATTAGGTTCTCAGTAGATACTTGGGTCTTATTTTTACTTAATAGATATCTCTTGCTTACATTAGGCTGCTGGTTCTGGAACAGAATGGAAAGAATTTTCCATCTCACCACCACCACCAATAGCAACAAGATGGAATGGTACTTTAGAAACATTGATAAAGGTGGGATGCAGTTAATGATACCAGAGATGGAGATCTGCCCTACTAATACCTCCAGTCTTACATCCTCTCTTTTCCTCATCAAAATAAATGATTTAAATGTCTGCAATTGAGCATAGGTAGAGAGCTCACTTAGGTGACTAGAACTTAGTCTCCCTTGTGTTGTTCAATCATTTTCTTCAGTATTATCTGACTTTTCATGATTCCATTTGGGGTTTTCTT